TTTTTTAATGGGGCTTCAAGAATCATTTCGTTTAGGTAGTTATTTTCTTTTTTGGGTTGAAGAAACCTAAAATTAAATCCAGGATCCGCTACAGACTCTTATAAAAACTATTTCTAACATTAGTAACGAACTGGTTTGTTGAAATGAACTTTTGTAGTTAATACTGTATTATACGTATTCAAAATTAAAGATAAAACCATGCAACATACTAATATCCATTAAAATGATTATGTGTTCTGCTTATGAGTCAAGATGGCAGGTGCAGTGACAACCTACGGCGTAATTCTCATCCAGATATCTCAAAGGAAAACTGAATAAAATAGCAAATATGTAACGCAATAAAAATTATGTAATTCGAAATAAAATTATTTTTAAACTAATTTATATTCTTTATTGACATTATTAAAACTTCCCTGCCGTTATTAGGTTAGGAAAGGATTGCAATCGGACCAAATTTCTGATGAACTGTTTTCTCCGGAAACATAATGGAGTATGTAAACAAATGAGCGCTCTTTGGACAATAGCGCCTGCGCAGAAAGTGAAAAACATGTTTACCCATACACTGTAGCACAAAAAAATCCTCTAGCGATTTTGATGAATCTTTCTTATAATCTCCTACTTAAAGTCCTTTAAATTTTTGTACATGTAATGAATTCCAAAAAAAAAATTAGATAAAGGATGATATAAAGAAAATAAAACTGTTTTGGGGCCTAACTCGCAAAATATACATTCTATATAACCATAAAGTGTAACACAAACAAATCTCCTACTTAAAGTCCTTTAATTTTTTTTACATGTAATTAATTCCAAAAAAACATTAGATAATTGAAGATATAAAGAAAATAAAACTGTTTAGGGACCTAACTCGCAAAATATACATTCTATATATACATAAAGTGTAACAAAAACAAAATCTGTAACGATTTTAATAAATCTTTCTTATAATCTCCTACTTAAAGTCCTTTAAATTTTTATTCATGTAATGAATTAAAAAAAAAAATTAGATAAAAGAGGATATAAAGAAAATAAAACTGTTTTGGGGCCTAACTCGCAAAATATAAATTCTAAATATACATAAAGTGTAAAACAAAAAAATTCTGTAACGATTTTGATGAATCTTTCTTATAATCTCCTACTTAAAGTCCTTTAAATTTTTGTACATGTAATGAATTCCAAAAGAAAAAAAATAGATAAAGGAATATATAAAGTGAAGAAAACTGTATCTTTTGAAAGTTAATCGAAACAATATTAGAAATGGTAATTCGTATTTTCTATTTTCTATTTTCTATTCATGTTTTATTACTTACCAAACACTACTAGGCACTAGGCTTTTTTTAATTTCCAACAAAATAAAATCGTTTAAATCGGACCATTTCTAGCAAAGTTACAGTATAATTAATTTTATTATGGTACACATGCCTGCTGACATTGCTTTGGTTCGTCAAATAAATCGTACTTTTATCATTGTTCTAATCGATTTCCAGATAAATTAATCTGGGTAAATATATAAATTTGTTTAAAAGCGGTAGGCATAAATGCAATGAGTTTCTTGATCTAGATTTTAAGTATGGTATCTTTCCATATTTTTATGTCCAAGAGCCAACTTCTCTAGCACAGAAGATCCCATCAAAAATTATTGATCATCCTAAAAGTATTTTTTTGTCGACTTTTTTTTCAATTTTCCTTTAAACCATATTGTTAAATGCTGTAGTAGATGGCCTCTAGTATTTACTCCTTTATGTGATATTAAGTGAGAGAATGAGGAGGAATATATGGGAATGTGAGGTTGCACTATGAATTGTACTCAATCGTGCAATGGACAAATTGTTCATTGGAAAGTCTGCTATCGATATAGAATCGACGAAGAAGGAAGAAGGAAAAGGAGGTAGCAGCAGCTGAAGAAGGACGCCGAAGAGAAAAGAAGGTACTTGAGGAATGGGCATGAAGGAAGCAGGTTAGTTGAGAAGAGAAGTCTACTACACTGTAGATTAAGAATATCAAGCTTTTAGTTATAACACTTTAATATATTCAATTTATTTACAGTTGTAGAAATAAATTCTTTTGTTATACCAGGAGTGAATAGTCCTTTTATTTATTTATCCTATATACCTCACAATCGACGAATAACAAACCAGGGGAGTCAATTCATTCAAAGTGTGTTTACTAAGTCCCACATTTCAGATATACACTGACAGGCAAAAAATTCCACCCACTTGATTTGTTCATGTTTTCATCTAAAAATATTTCTGCTTTGGATTAGTCTATTGTTTTTAATGAATAAATAGGTAATCTTTTTGTTTGTTTTCAATTAGGAATGTTAATATACAGGACAATAACCCTTAATCCTTAATTCAATGAAATGATTCTAGATTCCAATGTTTACTTTCTATGGAATCAAAATGTTTATTCAGTATCATTAGTTCAGTGCCGTTTCTTGCAACACATTTCTTAGTCTCCGGCTTTTAATTTTTTCAATATTAAGTTTAAAAATGCCTCTTAGTGCTGAGGATGTTGCACTTATTGATGATAGACGTTCCATTAGATATGCAGCTAATTCCATCGGAGTTCCACATGAAACTTTATGAGACGCCGTCAGGCGTTTTTGGAAACTGGTTCTTACAATAGAAGGCCCAGTTCTGGACGGCCTAGGGTAACAGAACCACGGGATGACCGGTTTTTGACTTTGAGAATTTTACGAAACCGGCACCTTACCGTTGTTCAAGCGATTTATCAGCTCGAAGAAGTTCGAGGTGTGCAAATTTCTGAACGTACCGCTCGGAGAAGATTAAATGAGTATGGATTAATGGCTTTTCGTCCAGTAAGAGGACCAGAGTTGACCAGAACTCACAGAGTAACACGGCTGGCTTTTGCTCGAGAACACAGCCATTGGACTATGGACGAATGGAGTGCTGTACTTTTTACAGATGAGTCAAGATTCGCTCTTCGATCTCCAGACGGGCGTGAAAGGGTGTGGAGAAGAAACGAAAGATATGCAGCCTGTAATTTTTCCCAGAGCCAACCTTTCCAACGTGGTTCCTTAATGGGCAACAAGTGGGTGGAATTTTTTGCCTGTCGGTGTATATATTGTTATTGTTTCTTGTCACTCAGTGTCACAAAATCATTAGGTTCCCGAATTCGTAACGACAGTTAAACACCCTCAAAAGTCTATATCCAGTGCCGGGATTTTGTTTTAAGAAAACTAAATTCACTCCATATTCATATTTTCTTAATTTCTTATTTAACTCCTTCCAGATATTCTCAGCGTTTCAGAAACCCATTTTCATTTCCAAGAGTTTTATATTTTTATCCTGACTTAATCATTTACTAATCGATTTAAGATATAACATAAACCGGTAATAGGCTCTCAGTCTATATTAGATAATTTCAGGATGAAGACTGGAATTCCAAAGAAGTAAATCATTTAAATTGAATATTAATCTGTGAATACCTCGTTGCTTCAACTAACTCTGACGCATTAAGATTAGACCCCATTGATTGTAAAATTAGAATCGATCCATGTTATCTAAACCATTTATCACTTTATATATATTGCAGATAGAGGTAGTAGTAAAGCGTAGAAACACGCGGGAGATTTGACCTTTAAATATAACATATGAGTCGCTTTCTGTTTTGAAATAATGTTTACGTATGAAATCACCCCAATCATTTATCTTTCAAAAAAAGCATTACGTATAAAAATGATTCTGAATCTGAAATTCTGAAAGCCGGATGGTATTGAAATGTATAAAAAAACAATCCTGAATTTGATTTAAACTTTATATCAAAATCTCAATGCAATCGATGATGAAGTTTCGGAAGTTAGTAGTTTTGAACGAATTAACATTTTCATTTTGGTTTATTATTTTCAATAATCAACCATTGTGATCGACCAAAAAATTCAAAAACTTAGCCCCCTAAAAAATTGAGGTTTCACGTTTCACGATGAGTAGAATTCGAAAATCGAATAAAAATTTTTTTGTCCGTCCGCCGTCCGCGCATTTTCTCCGAAACTACTGGACCGATTTCTTTCTAATTTGGATATAAAATCAGAGGTCACCCGAGGATGATCCTCCTTCATCCACATTACTATCCGCCTTATACTTTCAAAATGGCGGCCGCAAAACCTCCGTTGCTATAGACAGTAGCTCCTAAACGAATGTACCAATTTCAATGAAACTTCGTTAGTCATTTTCTGGACGCCCTTTAAATTTATCTATGTAACATACTTCAACGAAAAGAAGCTAGAAAAAAAGTTACGAGTTCGCGTCCCGTTTCCAGGGAGCTTTTTAATTCTGCTATTAATTAATCCCCTGCCCTCGCCCTTGCCGCGTATATCCTAAAAGCCGAAGAAGGGATAAACTCCCTCTCCTTTCCCCCCAAAAAACTTAAGGTTAGTTATACTTGGAATTATTTTAAAGGTTTTTCAATTCTATAACAACGAAAAAATATATTAAAATTGGACTATTTTTAGCAAAGATGCAGCCAATTATAATGTTTATTTTTGTATGAACCATTGTAATCGACGAAGTAACAATAAAATAAGTAAAAAAATGAATTCCTCCTTCTTGTAATGCATTAAGTTTGTTAATTTTTATATTTGTATATTGCTATTTGTTCATTAGGACAAAATACTATGCGAATTATTAGAATGGGTCAACTAGTGTAAACATATAATTTAAAAATTATGATCCAATATAAATCTGTCAAAAATAGGCGCCGACTTCAAGAGAAAGAGGGGCCCCCATAAAAATATTGAGGGAGGTAGAATACCGTATCGCCCCCCTCCTCAACAATTTGAGATCAAAAAATATTAAAACCAATAATAAATAAGCATGAATGAATAAAATATGTATTAATATGTAATAATAAAATAAAATATCTGCCCAGATCTGCAAAATCCGTATTACCTCAATGGCACGGTAGGGTTCAAATAAATAATAAAATATGTAAACTAAAATTGATTAAGAAAATAGGAAAAGTTCCCTAGTAGAAAAGAGCTAATTTATTTCTATCGTCAATAAACTTGCTATGTGTACCATGAACAAATAAAATATAAATAAAGTAACCAGAACACACCATTGTAACAAATGTTATTTTAAGTTCCATTCTATATTTGATTTTTATATTATGAATGATGGAAATAATTTGAAGCGTTGAATTGCCCTGTGGTATTTGAGGCAGGAAGGTTCGGAATTGGTACAGTCCTTCTCATTTGGCCGAATTGGATGAGGATGACCAGATACGTTGTTGTAGCAGCTATCATCTGAAAGTATACAATAAATCAGAGGTTGAGGAACAACTATGATTGTATTATATAATATATAATATAATATAAACTGCAGGGTTTTACTTACAGAATGAACCAAAGTGTAGTCCAATCTAAAGAACCCACATGCAGTGAAGACAACCTCTTTCTTCATCGCTATATGAAGGTATAATTTAGGCTACGAACAATAATAATAATTAATATTACTAATCATAAGTATGATAAAGTGATGATTATCAAATATAATAATAACTCACATTATTTAATAATTCATTGTTTTTATCTTCAAGCATCATCTGATAAAGCAAAGTGTTAAATTCATCAGCCTGTATAGAAAAAGAATCTTATTTTTTAAATTGCGAATATATTTTCAGATATTAAATCTAATTTCAAAGTGTTTTTTTCGGTTTTAGTTTTTCATATTTCGCTAATACTACATAAAATCAAAAGATTTAACCATCATTTTGAAGCACCTCTCCAAGAAAAAAAAATCTGGTGCGTGCAACACAAAACTTTCACTTACCCCTCTACTTTGAATATAAATTATTTTCTGGGAATGTTGGGCTATTATAAAATATTTGAAGTGAATTTTAAACGGAGCTAAAGCTTACAGATAACAAATCATTAAGGCCATATTACAAATTACAAAAAGTCTATTTATTATATCTAGTGCTGCCCAAATGCGAGACCGAGACAAACTCAGTCTTCGTCATGGTCTTGGTCTTGCGTAATAGTCTCGTGACAGTCTTGAAGTTACTTATTAGCTTATTACTATAGAGATATTACTGTAATGTTTAAGATAGGAGAAACCTAACTAAGCCCTAATTAGAGGAGTTAAATGCAAAAGTATATTGGTTATAACAATTATTTAAATATAGTAACTAAGATTGTCAAATATTAGTAATTATTTTGCCATAATTTTTATTCCAAAAATGCAAAGTGCAAGACCAAGACCGATTTTGGGCAATACTAATTATATCTACGGTGGGAAATAAAAATCTAGTTTTATAAACTTCAGTCTCTGAGCCTTTCAGCTGCCAGAATGACTAACTCCAATTTTAAAATTTTTGAGTGATGTCATTTTAGTGATATTTCTAATTGGAAAATTTATATCTATACAGGCAGTGAGCAGATAGGTCAAAAGTTATCATACTAATTTTAAGTGCATAATGTTGGGATTTCACTACGGAAAACTTCATCAAATTATTCACTAATTTAATTTACTAAAATGGTACATGATTATTTTTGGAATAAACGGCCGATAGTTACCTAATTATTTAAATATAATATCATATCTAGAGTTATTAAACTACAGCAAAAGTATTTAAGGTTATAAACATATCCATGAAATAGTTTTATATTTCACTTCTTCTTTCACACAATAACAATTAAATATTAGGATTAAAGATTCGGTGGATTTTTAATCCTTTTTTCAAACAAAAAAAAAAATTATAAGTTTACATTTTGTAAGAAAATTTCATTTGACGCATGTGATTTAGGTTAAATAAAGTTAGTTTTCTGAAATTATTTATTATTGATTATAAATTATTATTATTATTTATATTTTTTATGTCACTCTCCTTTATCTTCTACAACTTTCTATATTCGATATTGTTTTTTATAAAATTCTCCGTTTTTCAATGATATATTATACGCATACCTTCGGACTAGACGACCTGGATAAGCATTTTTATTTTTTTCTCTTTATTCAATTATCAAATTCTTTTAAAAGTTATATTTAGCATTTTTTCGTAACTTTTAATAATGAGAGATAGTTGATTATTTAAAATAAACTATATTAAAGGTACTTTAGAGGAAGACGCATATGAAAATTGGACATTTAAGCCCTGTAAAGTGACATCGACGGGGATAAGAACTAAATGATATTAAAGATCACTTAATTATACAATGATACACCGAGTTTAATCAAAATTGTTAGAGTCATTTTTGAGAAAATTGTAAAAATGTGTTTCAGCGTTGATAAAAAGTGGCACTTCCGGTTAGCCGATTTTAAGGAAAAAGTTGCCAGGACATCTAAGGCATATATCTATCTTAAATATGTGATATCAGTTTCTTACGAATTTTCATTTTGAGCTAGACTGCTTACATACACACACACACACACACACACACACACACACACACACTTTATTTATTTGATATTATTGTTTCTAAAATTCTTCGCTTTCCAACGATATATTATATGTATATCTTCTGACTGTTATTTCCGAAGATTCATTTTTGACCTGGATAAGCATATTTCTTTATTTCTCCAGTTACCAATTAACATAATTCTTTCATGAGGTATTGTTGTATTAAGAATCCACACATTGTGTTCTCAGTTTTTGTTTTTGTTTCAAAAATAAAAAAAAATCGATATAAACATTTAGCTAATATTCAAGATGAGGGCAGTGGTAGTCAAGATGTGCGCACCTCAAACATTTTGATACAACCCACTTTTGCACAGCCCCGATTGTAGTATTATTTAGTCATTATAAATCTATTTTCACACCTAAATGTTTTAAGATGCAATGTATAAAATAGTAAAGATCTGTGTAAAACTCCAAGAGACATTCACATTTAAAAATTATAGTTTTAATTAATATTGCCTACCTTCCTTGTTACAACAATGATCATCCTGATCACACGCAAAAATTTCAATAATGCTAAGCAGAGCCAAAAAGGAAAAACTAAATAAATCAACACACGCATGTCATGTACAGTAGTCGACCTCAGGAAGACGATACTGAACAGGAATAAGATAAATCGAGACAGAGTAAGCGCGGTGAAGAAGAGCAGCTGCGCTGAATATATTCTCGCCATTTTGGAAAGGGCTTCGGTCAAAAGAAGATGGACGTTCGACAAGATGACTGCTGCTTCCATGTTGTCATCTCTAGACCTCAGCTTCTTCAAGCACTCGACAAGAGTTCGAAACCGGACGAGGAAGATGTCCAACATACCAACGTACTGGATCTCACAAGCATGGCTAATCATAAAAAACAAATAAATATTAGCAAAATTCAAGTGCAAATGGTCTGAAATCAACATCTGGACCGCGAATACTAACGCATTAAGGGACATGCACGCGATACTGAAAATAATGGAAATTTCATCTTCTACAACGTTACCATACTGAGACAAGAAAATGTCTATGCACAACAAATCGTCAACTACGTGATTTATCTTACGCACAAACTTCAAAGAAGTTACAATGCATGATGTTGAGTACGATACGAAAATAACACGGACAATTTTAACAATGAATTGGATGAATGGAAGGTTGATGAAGAAAGATCCTTTGAATATGTTAAGGAACGTCCAAACGGTAATAGACATTGAAATGACAAGGGAATATATAAGGAGCAAAGGTGAAAAAGAAAACCCATTATAGCCCAACCTGAGGGGCACGATTCCGCAAATTTGGGACAGAAGAAATACCTTTCGCAAAGACTTGCCCAAACTACACTTCCCAAGGTTCGGCATTCTATCGTGAGCCTTTTTACTGGCATTAATGAGTGGGCTAAATGGATCTATTTAGGAAGAACGTCTACTCTTTAGATATAAATCGCGCTCAACTAAAAGCTTATTGATTTTTATAACATCCTTTCTTAGTACATTTAGTCAATAATATCCCTGACAAAATATCTCACCTTCATCTGAATTAAATTTTGAAGAGGTCTTAACTAACGATTCTTGACTGAACAATAAATGAATTTCGAATCAACTAAAATACCAAACATATATAATTGATCTTCGGTTCGGAAGTGTAAATAATACTGAACAAATCTGCTACCTAGGACTCCATCTGGACATATGCTTTACTTTGAATCCTCGTACAAGACTGAAATGATAAGAAAGTGCTAGACTCCGGGTACTTAAACAATTACAAGAGAAACGATGTACTCTTCACATTAATATAAACGACCCATTTACTTGACTATTATAAGGCCTATTTGGCCTAACGAGTTGAGTTTTGTATCCAATCCTTACAATCCTTTGTAAATTCCACAATCCTCCTTACTTTGTCAAAAAGAAAATTATCTATAATGACCTTATTGTTCCATATGTTGCCAATTTAGCGAAATCCAGATACCTACCTTTCTATAATTATTGGGTTGTCCCGAAAAGAATGCAGGATTTTGAGTTTTCTTTAAAATACTCCACTATATAACAAACTGTTTAACTTTTCTGGATTATTTATTTGTATGAATGTCAACACTTATTAATGTATGTTTAGCTCTGTAGCATTTCGTTGATTGGAAATAATTCAGTTTTTATTAAAATGCCAACGCGTGATTTTCGTAAAATTTTGTTTTACGAGTTTAAAGGCCGGAATGAGACCCAGGCGGCCAGAAACATCGATCAGATCTGGAGCGAGAGCAGCATATTTGAGTTCACTGTCCAACGATAGTTCAAAATATTTCGGGAGGCAGACTTCAGCTTTGAAGACAAAGAAGATCGTGGAAGAATTTCCTCTTTTGATGACGATGTTCTGCAGACTTTGGTGGAAGAAAACTCCAGAACAACTGTTCGATAACTTGCAGGGAAACAAGCATATTTAATCGATCGTCGATGGCCACCTGAAGGCAATTGGAAAGGTAAAAAAGCTTGAAAGTTCGGTTCCACACACATCAAACGACCGCCAAAAAAAAAAAAAAAAAAAAAAAAAAAAAAAAAAAAAAAAAAAAAAAAAAAAAAAAAAAAAAAAAAAAAAAAGAGCGTTATGAAACTTGTAGTACGCTTCTTAGCCGAAACAACACGACACTTTTCTGCCCAGAATTGTTAATTGTGATGAAATGTAAATGCTTTACGACGTTCTGGACAGTGGCTCGACAAAGGAAAAACAGCAGAACATTTTACAAAATCCCCAACTCATCCAAAAAGGTGATGTTTAGTGTTTGGTGGGCTTCACTTGGTTTAATACAGTACCGCTTATTAAATTCTGGAAAAACCATCAATGCCGAATCGTATAGTAACCAAATTAATGCTATCCATTTTGTTGCATTGTTGCATGACAACGACCGGCCACATTTCTCTTGTGGGACGTCACAAAAACTGTTCGAGATTGTATATGAAACTCTGCCGCATCCGCCCTACTCTTTGGACCTCTCGCCTACGTTTTATAATTTTTTCAGACAGCTAGATCACTACTTACGTGAAAACAATTTAATGGACAAAGGTAATTATAAAATGCGTTTTTGAAGTTTATCAATTCTAAAGATGGGAAATTCTATCCTGAAGGAATGGAAAAGATGCGGACACGTCGACAGAAATGTATTGATTGTAGTAGAGACTATGTTGATTAAATAAAACATTTGTAAATCTTTTTTTTTCTTTTTAAACCAAAACCCTGCATTATTTTCCGGACCAATAACTTCAGTACCATTCAAACACACAAGTTTCTAACGTTGTATTCTTTTCGATCCCCGATAATCGTAATCCTTCTAGGAGTGTGAAAAGAAGTCTAATATAGATTCACTATTGGAGTGCTACCAATGGGTAGTTTCTCTACAAGTCGGCTCAGGACATTCATGTTTACTTGTTATATTTTTAATATAGTTTCAATAAATATATTTATAGAATAAAAATAACTAAAAAATGTAATTTTAAATATCATTACCTCTCTTGTAACGTTAACAATCATTCTAATTACACGAAAAAACATTAGAAATGAAAGCAGAAGCCAAAAAGGGAAAACTATGTAAACGAGAATAAACAACCCCCGCACGCTGTACGGCCTCAGGAAGACGATGCTGAAGAGGAACACGATGAACCTCACCAAGCTGATGGCCGTGAACAACAGCAGCTGAAGGGAGTACAGTTTGCTGATCTCGTAAAGGGATTCGGACAGGAGGAGGTGGACGTTCGACAAAACTACGGTGTCGTGGCTCGAGTATCCTTTCCTGAACCGCAACTTCTTCATGCAGTTGTTGAGCGTCCGATAGCGATTAAGGAAGATACTCAACATACCGATATACTGGCATTCAGCCGCGTGAGTGATAACGAACGACAAATATATGTTAGCCATTTCCAAGGGCACATCAGAAATAAATTTCTGAACAAAAAATAAAATTATATGTAACATCATGCATATTATACTGAAAGTCATGGAGAAACTATCTTTTACGATTTTACCAAACATTGACAGAAAATTATCAATGCACCACAAATCGTCGAAAATGTGATTCATCTTACGTACACACTTTAAAGAGCTTACGATGCAGACTCCGATAAAAACTACGAATATAGTACGCGTCATCACTGACAGGAAGTGAATGATTGGTTCTCTTAGGAATATAGTTATCAATATTATGTTGGATATGGTCCAAACGGAAATACATGTTGCAAAGCATACGGATGCTATAAGGATTAAAGGAGAAACAGAAAATCCTCTGGAACCCAACTTGAGAGGAAAAAGTCCGAAAAGCTGAGGGATAATGAAGACGCTTTGTAAAGACTTGTTTAAATTACGCCTAATGAGATCCGGCATTTTGATGTGACCTTTTCTTCTGACTTTGAAGAATCTACTAAAACTTATATTTAAGAAGAACAACGCTCTTCTTTAGATCTGGAGGAAGATAGCTCTCCTGACAGCTTATTGATTTATCGATTTATACCTCGGCCAGTTCTTAAACTAGGTTGTCAGTAAGCTCTTTGGGCATTGTTGTTTCATACGAAATATTAATTTTAACATACTTTATTCTCAAACATTGGTGCATTTGTGAAATGTGTGCTAGTAAGTTTTATTTATGTTTGTATAAATTCAATACATTAAAAACAAAAATAAAAACTAACATAATAATAGTAAAATAACAACAAAATAACTAAGATACAAAATACAATTGCATTTTGAATTCATAATGTATTAATGGCTACATACCTTCAGCAATAATACCTATTGCCCTTAGGTGGCAGAATTTATTATTATTAAAAAAAAAAGAACTCCTAAGCTTTAAGCGGACCCACGGAATGGCATTCACGGTCATTCGGAATGGCATTCCGTGGCGCTATTGACATTCTGATTGATCTTGTAAGGTTATGATCAAAGTATTGATGAATGTAACTGACGGATTTCCGAAAATCAAAGGTTCAATGACAAGAAGTGGAGGGGAGACCGTGGTAAAAGTGGTGTGGAGAATAACTTCACTATTAGATAGGTTAGTTTACCTTGGTCCCATGACCATTATAAATTCCTGATTTTCATTAAAATAGTTTTTCATATCCCTTGTTTATTTTTATAAACCATCTTCAACTATTGTTTTTTTTAAATGGTGAAGTGGGCAATAAATTTTTTAAAAAGTGGAAGCTTCATACTTTACTTATCTAAAAAAAAATAATCTTTAACTGTTGTGTATATTTGTCAGTTCGTTTTCTATTTTTCTCCACAAATTTATTATTTTCGCAGTAGTTTTCCTTAATTTTTATAAGTAGTTGACTTATATTTTTCTAACTTTGGTCAAAACAATTTTCAGGCATTAAGAAGTAATTATTATATCTCCATTCTTCCCTTTGTGTCCGATGCTATAAAATAAAATTGCTAAATAAGCCTTTTTAATGAAATACATTATTATAAATGGACAATGCACCAGATCCACACTGCCTGTTATCTCAACGTCAACTGAGCTAAAATGCGTCAGTCTAATTGATACGTGTAAGAGACATCCTGATTAAAAAATCTTACAGTCATTCATGACTTATCGTATAGGGTCCGCTTTAGGGGGGATGTTCATGTCAGGAAATGTTTCAATTGAAGAGAGGTTAAAAGAGTACGAAGATACCGGTCTACAAATCGGTGTTATTTCCTAACGTATTCTTCTGAGTTCTGAACTTTCATTTCGATGAACAGAAAATAGATTTAGCCACTACATGTGTAATATCTTCCGTGGAAGGTGAATGATAAGACTACGCATCGCAATACTACCATCCTCGAGGTCCAACCAGCGGAAAACTACCCTAGAAGAATACAAATTCAGATGGTTTGGACATCTCCTCCAGATGAATGGGAGTGGAGTCGCCAGGAAGGACTAGGAGACTCCCGAGCAACGAAGAAGACCGACAGGAAGACTTCGAATATCCTGGAAAGAAAGCGTGCGAAATGCGTTCCAGAAAATTCCAGCGAGTATTGGAAAGGATCAAGATACGACAGGTTCTGTAGGAGAACAGATCACCTAATCAAGATCTGAAAGTTTCAATCCCAGACACCTGGATTTGACAATAGATAGACACGAAACCAAGATTGTTTCTGGATGCCTAAAACGTATAACGCGTGTGAAAATTTCTGAGGATACACATTTTTTTAAACTACCCACACGAATATAAAGCTTTCCTACCTTCGGCAGTGAGGATGTGAATCTCATAAAGTCATTAGGACAATGGATCCGGAATCGATTTGTTTGTTGGAAGTGTTTCAAGAAAATTCTTCAGCTCGAGTAAACACAACAAGACTTATATTTTCAAAATACATAACGTTTTATAGTACAGCTTCAAATTAATAACAACTACGTATGAAATGTCTAGGTTATCATTGTCGAAGGAATCGTGGCGTTGATGGAGTCTGTAATCGAGCTGTGAGGAATGGACGACATCCCGTATGTCGGTCTCGGTTGTCCAAACTGAATGAGGATTACTAAATATGTAGTGGCAGCTGCTATCATCTGTAAAAAAAATTCAATTCTTAAAATACAAGAGGCATTGTATTAGATATACAATGTGGAATGAGAAAGAAATTAGGTACTAGTTCACAAGAGTTCCGCACGGATTACGCATGGTTCACAATCACTTCGATCACACTTGTTCCTGGAATCCCGAATGCGTTCGTGTTTCTCCGAAAGAGAACGAAGGCGACCGATCTCTTGGGCCAGTTACTATTAACTTTCCCGCCATTTAAGTACTTTAACCTTAACCACGTTCAGTTATATAGCAGGAGCAGATTTACATTCGAAATTTAGGCTACACATCATGAAACCTGAATTGAGCTTGTACATATATTATAGATCTGTAAAAAAGAAATAGTAATACATAAAAATCTTTAATTATTACATCTCTGGCTGCTATTTCACGATATTATTTTTCTTATAGATGATTTCCAATATTCATTATCTTGGAATTATTACATATTCTTCGTCAGTTGTTTCCCAAATACGTTAATTCCTTTCTCGAAAATAAATACTTTTTTTTGCACCATAGCCTACAATAATCCTTTTTTTCGGATTACCAAGAAAAATAACTGCGAATAGCAATAATTACACATCATAATTACAAATCAGACAGTATATGCATACAAAGCGCCCCCCTCCACTAGAAAATAGCCCCCCGTATTATTAGAAATCTAAAAAAATACATAAACTAGATAGACGATTGCGCAATTCTAAAAAAGGCTTGCTAAAATAAATTATAAATTCAATTATTCCAACTTCTATTGAAAAACTCGAATAACAAAAAAAAGATAATAGATAACTTAAAATTATTTATTATCCAAATTATAAACAAATCTTTTATACACAGTTATAGAAGATAATATACAGTATATGCGTATTTACAGCCACTACATGAAAGCACGTGTCAATAAAAATGTTATTACTAAAAGCTTTTTTTTTAATAGGGCTTGAAGAAACTACTCAAACATTATTTTATGTATTTTTTTCTTTTTCTTTCAAAGTAATAACCGTTATAATAAAAATCTAATTAGTAAATACACAATTTTTTAATAAGGATGTTCCATAAAGGGAATACGTTGTATTTTTTTCAAAAATGCATGAAAAGGGATTGTATTATGGGGCAATAGCTGACGTCATAAAAGACGACAACATTCGGCTGTTATCATTAAATCAAACAAAGACACCTTCGTGAGACGATCAAAGATACTTGCGGGCCGAATTTAAGGTTCGCAATTGTTAATTACTCCAATTAAATACCTATTTAGTTATTGCTTCTTATTCAACAAAAAATATGAATTGGTTAAAAAAACTCAAAACTTAAGTTTCCTATTTGTGCCTAAAATCGGACTGACGTCTGAATAATCTCTTTTGTGTTGTTTTCTTATAGAGTTATTTATACTTAATAATCTATCCTAACGATATCACACTAATGTAATCCTTTTGATTTCTTTACTTCTTAACCTTTAGTCCCGTTATCTGTTTACCTACAATCAAATGTAACCTCCACTAGCTTGTTATCCACTGATATCTTATTATTATGTTATCTTATTCTTATTTTAACTTTACTATAACAATACTTATTCAATTTTCAATCTATTTATTCGTTAACATTCATTTTCTTTATCTGTTAACCCACAGTTATCAAATGTAATCTCTATTAGTTACACGTATTCCTTATTTTTTATCGCAATCTGTTTACTTTTAACTTACATGCTATATTCTCCTTTATTTTCTATTTTTATTCATACTTATTTTCCATTTGTTTGTATCTTCTACATATATAATACTTGATATTTTAACTACATTGTCACCCACTATATCTCTGATATCATCTTTTTATTTCTGTATCTGACAACTTCTTCTTATTTTATATCTACTTATATTCATTTATTTTATTTTCACCATGTTTTGTATCTTTTGTAGCCCTGAAGACGACCTGCAAAGTGGGTCGAAACGTCGGCAAAAATTAAATAATTACTATCTGTTTAATTTAGTATTTATTTGACCGCACCCCCCGATTACCTCCTTCTCATATTATATCAACGGTCAACCATCTCTACATCAATCCCTTTTGTAGTTCTTGAGATCTACTATTACGCCTATAAATTTTCCCTTCTCCTAACGGGATATACTTTATAATTTTACTCACAGAATGTACTAGAGTGTAGTCCAATTTGAAGAACCCACAAGCGGTGAACACGACTTCTCTCTTCATCGCTATATGGAGGCATAACTTTTGCTGCAACCAAGAAAGAAATTGATTTTAAGAGAATCTAACTTGAAAATGACAGTACATAAAACATTTTCAAAATAATTAATATGTGTTTTAAGCTGCTTCATATTAAATAAAACAGTTAGTGAATTATTTAGATCAATGGTACATGCCAAACTGTGATGCCTGTACCACCAATGTAACGTTTCATATGGGATACAAACAACTAGATTTACATCAGAACATGCCTTTTAAAATGTTTAAAAAAAAATTATTAAATGTTTGAATAAAGAGATGAAAAAACAAGATCTGCAATGGATAAGCTAGTACAGAAGCAACATTATATCTGTGTTGTAGTCATAGTCAGGGGGGTTCAATATATTCTGAAGTAAAAAAAAAACGACAATTTTAGGAGTGTTTGAATGTGAATTACAAAAGAATTTCGTATTTTGAGTAAAATAAAGCTTGTCTGCCAATACAAAGCTAATTTAAAAATAATTACTACTAAGCAGTCTGTCGTTTACGAATTCCATTGACCAACTAAATTTCAAACATTGCAACTAAAACCAAACTTTCTAATTTTAGGGAAATAATTCAATTTCGTAGGAACTTTGAATTCAGCCATTTGAAAATTCAGCCATTGTCATTAATAGACTTCTGCTTTTAAGGAACTAGACAAGGCTTATTTAACTTAAAATAACATACAATTTCTTAATTTACATTCAAACATCCTCCTAAAATATGGTATTCATTTTTCTTAAGCAAATTGAATGTTACAGACATTATTTGTTTAACTGGTATAAAGTTTAGGAATTACTGACTAAGATAAAAAAAAATATATTTCTGTTTATAAATTATTATGTATTTAATAATTAGATTAATTGTAACAAGAATAAACTCACGTTATTTGATAAGTCGTTGGTCTTGTCATCAAGCATTAGCTGATACAGTAGAGTGTGAAATTCTTTAGCCTGCATTGAAAAACAAACTTATTACTAAATTACACTTAAACTGAATACCTTAAATTAAGTTAATCTAAATAAATGAGATTCTTCATCCAGCTTCTTATATAAACTAAAACTAAAAATATAGTCCAGTCAAATGATCACAAATGGCTACATAAATTAAGGTAGTTGATACAATTAAGTTGTTGATACAATATTGAAAAGTTTTCCAACATCCCAACCATCAGAAAGCGTCGCCATTTTAAATATAAGTGCTTAGTGCTTAAATATAGTTACATACATTGTACATAGTAAGTACATTCTAAAAATTAGTTTTGCACCAGGCGCCTACAGCCCGAAGAAATTTGTGAAAATTTAAAAATTAACATACACTGACATGCAACAATCGTTTTCATACTTAAGGAGAGGTTTCATACGGACGGATGTGGGGTCACTGATTTAAATTATTTTTTTCTTGTGATTCTAGGTCAAGAAATATTAGACTCATATCTGAGAGTGCTTGCTAATGCGCTCAAAGAGTAGAGTAAAAATACTTTATGAAATTAAAATACTTTTTTTTATATTATTGTTTCTTGCCTGTGATGTGCCTGAATTTTTAGGTTGCATACATCAGTCGATTTTTTTTGGAAGGAATGGAGTCAAATTTAAAAAACAAAACATATTCAACATAGGCGGGGTTAAACATATTTAATGGAATCTAGGTGTGTATATCGTTTATAATTTGTATATTACATGCTTTATTTTATTTTTTGGACCAAATTTAGACATTTTATTTTGTGCATGTTTGTTTATTTAGGCTTAAAGGCGTAAAATCCTAGAAACATCAACGCCAGTGAGTCGGTTATATTTTTAAACTCTTTAGAGGAGAAAAAAATAATGAATAATCAAAAACTAATCATAAATATATAGAATAATAAATGAAAAAGATATTTAAAAAATGAAATATATTAAAATAAATATCAAAAAAAGAAAGCACAATAAAAATCATATTTATTTTTATATCTTACTAGCTTTACCCGGCCACGCGCTGTTGTGGCTTAGCCTGGCAAAATGAAAATGATAGAAAATAGAAAGCACATATGAGTAGATTAATAGCAAAGGACATCTGTCATTTTTAAAAAGTTCGGAAACAAATTTGTCTGTAAAATGGCTTCAATTGAAAAAAAAAAATTATTTTTCGATACCAGTGAAAATTGATAATTGAGGTTTTATCGAGGTGCGAAATACAAATCTGAAATTTGTTTTTCCTAAAAAAAACAAACAACCCACTTTACTCCTACGGCCGCTAGAAATAGTTTTATTTCGGAGATAATGCTTATCTATTTTGATGACATCTTTTTTTTATTTTGTCGGCAAATCAGGAATCTTTCAAATAAATGTGGGTATTATCAGTCAAAAAATGTGTACTTTTTTAGTCAAATAAAATTCATCGTAACATTTTTCAGCTTGTTTTCGGGAAAGTTTGTTATTCAGATAAATTAAAAGGGTTTCAAGGGGAAGACTTTAGCCAAGTTTCGTTAAAATCGATGAAGCCGTTTTGGCACTACAGTTTAGTGTAGCGACACATTTTTGTCTGCTTTGAACAGAAAAACATTTACATTTTTATTTTTTTTACATATATAAAATTATCGTAAGACAGAAGTACTATGCCAGAAACCTTCCCAGGAGTGTACGGAAAAACTTCCCAAAGTTTCATGGCGATCGTTGAATGGTTCAGTAATGCACTAAGGACAAACAGACGGACAGACAGACATACATTCATTTTTATATATATAGATTTAATAGCCTATGGATTTTAAGAAAATTTATCACTGTTTATATGTTTGATTTATACAGCATAATACTGCTGATATATCCGGTTTTAGAGATAATCGATTTAGGCTTGAAGTATAATAAGTGTATTCTTGGAAAATATGATTGATTGTGAGAGGGCTATTGCAGTGTTGACAATTTGGTGGTGGCTACTTAGGAATGAGATGTACATGATTTAAATTTGTGTGTCCTATTCTTAACCTGGTCACGGCAACCTATTTTATGCATGCAATCTTACTTTTGATACTCATCTATTTTAGAAAAAAAAAATTATTGGAATATAGCTATAGTATGAGTATGGTATACCACATTAAAACAATATGTACCAACCAGCAGAGTGAAATAGATTTAAATATTTTTTTAAGCAGAAACTAAGTTGATATTTGTATTTTAAACATCGAAAAATTATCAAATACGAATTTTCGTAGCAATCAAAAAATGTATAATTTTTGTTCATAATTTCTCCAAGGGTTGTGAACTTCGAATAACTTCAACATAATTGCACTAATAAATACTAAAATTATCAAGCATTTAGGGCCTTATAAACCAAACGAAACCAGAGCCACGTAAACAAATTAGAATTGGTAGTATAAAATCAAATTTTTTGAGGAGTTTTACTTTATTTATTTTCTATAAAAACGTAAAATCTTATAGTTTTTGCTGTGATTTAGAAGAAAAATAATGCTCTCGGTTAAAGTAGCGCTAAATTAAGATAAAATACTGAGGAGTATTTGCTTTACGGCTCTTAGGGTGCATTGGTAATAACCTTTGGACATGGATCTAATATTTTTTAACCTAATATCATCAAAAAGTTTTATTAGAATTGGTAATCCCACGTCCAAATCCTCCTCTTGTTAGATATAATAGAATTTAATTTTTTCATAACTGAAATATTGTAATAAAGATTATAGTATTCATCTACTACCGATCAATAATAACAGTAAGAAACGTACCTCAGTTGAGCACGCCTTACAAGCAGTTACAATTTGCAAGCAGAGGTTAAAGCAAACGATTATGCAGCACAGCTTTACGACTAACACTAAGAAGAATGCCACATCGACTTTCTCATCGACTCCTACATCGATGAATACGACACATCGATAGATTTCAGTAACCGATATGACGAAACAAGAAAGGAATATGGCTATGAGCTGGGTCCCGTGGATCTCGTTGAGGGTGTTGGTGCACAAGCAGAGGGTGTGGTGAGCTCGGGCCAGCCTCTCCACCTTCCGCATCTTCAGGACGACCAAGTCCTTCACGTAGTTCCTGACTTCCTGGTTGCAGGCCGTGAACAGGTCGGTCAGGATACCCACCACGCCGAAGTACCAATAAACCAGAACTACCATGTGACCAACGAGGCTGAAGTTTATCAGTACTTGCGCTCCTGATAACACGAGGCCGGCGGGATTGCATATGGCGTTTTTTGCAAACCTTGCGGCCAAAGCCGTAAAGATGAATAATGTATTAGTCAGCAGTGGTCTTCTGCTGGTGTCGTAGTCGACGAACTTTCCTAACTGAAGGAGTTGTAGTTCGGCCGCCTCCAAGAAGAAAATGCATTCGTTGAATTCGTGTAGAGTGCAGGCCAGTTCGCAGATGGATACGATTGGAACAGCATTGATTAGTAGCATGCTTATACAATCGATCTCTGTGCTGAGGACGATCTTTTCACTTCCCGTAAAGTCGACACTGAAATAGACTACCGTGACAATAGTGTATACTAAGCATTTGAGAGAAGAGATGATGATCAAAGAAACGGATATCCGGTAGCTTCTTCTGTCATCCCACAATATCGGAAACAAACCGAACATTCTAGCAGGCTGCATGAGGACTCGCAAGGATCTCTTCACATCCGGTTTCATCATATTTACTAGCCTGTTCGGTCACGGAGCGATACGGTACAAATGGATCAATGCCTAGATGACACGCGGAGATATGGAGCGGCATTGAGTCCAAAGTAATTGGTGATATCTAATGGCGGATCGTGCTTGTGTTAAACGCCACTCGATATAATCTGAGTCGTACGTTTCGGATTCGAGCCAACAGAAAAGTGGCCGTAACGATGTTGTCAGTCAGTAAGCAGACAATATTTGGGAATTCACTTAGCTTTATCAAAATCAACATCAATCAAGCTCTCATTGGTAAAACAACATACATAAAATACTCAACAATTTCATGATTATTTAATATAATTCGTAAAGTGACCAGATGTTAACATTGGTAAAGCGGGACACCATTGACCGGGGGGAGGGAGGGAGGATCATCTAAATTTGTAGTTACAATAATTAATTTTACATAATGATAAGTGGATGCAAATATTAATTAGGTGGCATAGTATTCAGCTGAAATAAGGTACATAATTTCGTTTCATTTTGAAAGCGAATATGGTGTATTTGACGTCTAATTTATGATTTCAATTATAACACATTTTTTAAAAACTTTATATCAGCAGATTGTATACAATTAAGCAGCTCTTTTTTTTTAAACGTTATAAAACTCATTGAAGGAGACAAAATTTCGGTAATTAAAGTAGTAAACGGATTTAATTTGGTGATGCCCAAGATTTAACTTCAACTAGTATACTGTCAAAATAGGACTTGCTTTGATAGGTCTTAAGACAAAAAAAAATTAACTTTTCCCCCCAAAAAACCTGTACCACTACATATGAAGGGTCTTGGGATCAGTACTATTTAGGGAAAGCCCTGTTTTTAGGTCAACAGTTGTGCAAGGAGGTGAGATCAAGCTCAACCACCAGGTTTTCTACCTTAATTAATTATTCAATTAAGGATACCCACTTTATAGAGGCCGGTTGTGCCCCAGGAGGGTCTCCTGAACCAGGGTCGAACCTTTTCCCAAACAATATATTTTTTCAATAACGATACTTTATTAAAAAGGTCATTTCCGAGTTGCTTACTAAGACCAAACAATGGTGGTTTAATGTTAACAACTGATAAACAATTTCAACTTTACTATGGTCACCATAGTCTCGGTCCATGATATTTAGTTGTTGAAGAGTATATTTTGCTTGAATCGCTGTCTAGTATATAAATTTTTTTTCGTATAAGTATGTTACATTAAAAAAAAAAGCAAATGCTGCAAACTATTACACAATCCTTAATTATTTCTTAATATTTGTATTAAATACGTGTGGCGAGGCAGGTATT